CTATGTTTTCTGATTTTGGATTTTGATTCTCCGTAAATTTTATTAGATACCTAATTTAGAATTTTTTTAAATTGTAAGCGTTCAATTACGTGTAAAGGTTAATTAAAAAAATAAAATAAAATAGAACCTCAATAGTTGTCTTGACAAAAAGCTTGATGTCTACTATTTTTACTCAAGTATGGCTTAATAGTTTTTTGGCATTGTTAAACGTTCATTTATTTCAATAAAGATGTTTTTAATGAAACTAGTGTGTTTGAATCTACCACGCATACATCACGTTTGACAATGCCAAAAATATATTTACATGTATAGAGATGATATATCACGTTTTTAATCTTCGTTTTCTCCTACTCTCACGTGCAATATGGAATTACTACGTGAACGTGGTAGGGAATCCCAATACTTTTATTTATGAATGAAGTCTTTGTGTAGGACTGTCTCTATTTACAAGATATGAGGAAACTATAATAAATTTACTAATAATTCGCTTTTTAGGTATTTCTTTTACACGTAGGACATACATTGATTAATCATCTTTGTTCTAAGTGGTAAAGCTAGGATACATCGATTTGACACAACCAGTTTACTTCTTACTAACTATAAAGGTAATAAATTAAGATAATACTAACTGCTTTACCAAATACTGAACTTGTTTAGATCAACGAAGATTATGTGAAACTACTTTGTTCTTTCAACTCAAGATTTCCTTCTACGAAAACTATTTTATCTGCTCGTCTTATAAGAATGCGCTAATAGACAATAAATACTATGTTGAAACGTGTCGTTAATTAAATGGGTTTTGTTAGAAATCCAAAAAAACCTTTTTGATTTTTAGAGGGATGTTGGCTATATATCCCGAGTGTCTTCATATTAAGACACAAACCCGATAACTCTGTACTTTTAACCAATAATCATATTACAGTATATATTAATAGGCAAGCATGTTTCTTGAAAACCCTTTTCTCAGCTCGCGTGCGTCGCAGAGAAAATCTACGCATACCGTTAGAAAGATGTTCCTGTGTGTGCAGAATCCCTTTATTATAATAAACTAAAAAATAATCATAAAAATTAATTGAAAATGAATAAAAAATTACATGGGCCTTATGGATTGCTATGCTGATGACTAAATATAAACAGAAAACAATTGAATAATTTGCAATCACATGTTTTATTTTAGCGTGGGGGGAAAATAGAGAAGTCTGTCATTACAGATTTTTAGTCGAGTATTCGAACACCATACGACCTCTAGAATCAAAATAGTTATACATACGTTTTCAATTTTGTTTAAAATATTGTGTACAGTAGATAATTAATTACAGAAGAAAATGAAAAAAAATCATAAATTAATATATGCTATTAGATTCTGTATAAAAAATATAATTCAACCTTTGAAGATGGACGAAGAAAGTTTCTTCCTTGACATGAACATACTGTAAAGTGCCTGTCACTATTACTTGTGTCTATTTGTTGTTCAATAATCAATTTTACAAATGTTATTTTTCGGCACTGCGTTTTTCATAGAACCAGTTTCTATAGAAGTAGTTTACCATTTAGTTTTTGGTTTTACTTCAGTCAAATTATTTTTAATCAACTAACCACAGAAGTTTGTTAAATTTTCTTTTAACGAAATAAAATGTTTAGGCTATATCGGCTAGTAAACGGTTTCTGTAGTTACTGATTCACACCATCAATGTAATATGTTTTTGATTTAATAAATTCAAAAATGACGTATATTAATGAACGCTTAGTATTTGGCATGGACAAAATATTAACATTTTTATTTACCTAGGCCTAATATTTTAACTTTAAACTGGTACTTATTGACCAATGGTGGTGGACCATTTATTCAACTTAACGAGACATGTTAGTGCTTAATTATTATTGTCAATGACTTTCGTAAGCACTTTTCGTTTTATGAACTTTTCTAAACTAATTTTTTTTCTAATGTCAACATTAAACGTTGACCTTTCCCCGTGTAATTACGACAACATGTCTTGTGTATATATCATCCTGTGTAACATTTAGAGTTGTGTTATGTGTAGAGTAATGTAAGATTAGGCGGCCTTACACTGAACTGCACTCTCTTGCTTGCTTTGCCACTGAGAGTGGGTGTGAAATAACGAGTGGCTAGTGGCTAGTGTACAAAGGCCACTCGTCCATCTCACTAAAACTTGTACAGTCGTAACATAGACTCTGTACATTCCCTTGACTTACAACAAAGCATTACACTTTCACTTTCGCTCACAATAAGTGGAAAAACTATGGAACCTTTTCACTGTTGATGGCAATTGGTAACCAGTGTAGTTACAACACTTAATCAATATTATGACGAGTCATTTATGATGTTCTAACTTCATATAAAAAGGTGAAAGTTGGGATGGATGTTAGATTCTAGCCCGGGACCATCATACCCAGGACTTAGGCTAGGCTCAGAGAGTTGTGGCATTATCACGTGTATAGTCCATTGGTGATTGGCTGAATTTAAACGTGGGATTTTGAGGACCGAAGCCATACGCTCTACCACTAGACCAGCTCACTCACAAATGACGGAGAACATGGGTGATTGGAGTGGATGTTGGTATCACAACGACGAGAAATCTTTATACGCATCGTTCAACTGGTTGATAGCATAGCTCTAGTAGGCACGTTCTAATCAAACTCCTGACATATAAGATGTGTTAGGTATTGTAATATTGTATGGATGTAAAGTAAACAAATAGTTTCCGGTAGGTAGTTTCAACATTGATGCATTAACTTATCAAAGTATTGTGAACTTGAATTGATTTACGAACCGCTCACTCAGGTTATAGCCTATATTTACATCCTCCAAGTTCATCCTACAAAGTTCACAAAAGTGTTTATCAATGGCTTAACAAAATAACTGAGTGTTTATATGTAAAAATAATGGATTAGAAAAGTTTCTGTATTTTATTGAGTAATATTATCTTGTTTAGAGTTGTGATGTCTGTATAGTCACCAGCTTTCAATGAATGCTCTACACTCATATGTTGAGGACGGTATTCCTGATTATTCTCTCAGATTTCTGGGCTCAGTTTTGTTACCAAAGGAAAACTGGTAACCCAGACATTTTTTATGTAGTTTGCAGTCGTTTATCTGGCAATCGGGAGTTCGTCGTTGCGGTAGATAATTTTATGAAAAATAGCATTGGTAAAATGACGTAAAATAATGGTAGTTAAATGCATGTAAATTATTATTGAGGTCAGATTGTATTGAAATAGATACGATATTTACCGAGGGTTTATCGTTTTATAGGGCGTTTTGAAGTGGATTCTACATCCAGAAGTATTTGTCCAAGTTTGTTGACCATGAAAGCTTTACGGTAGCCCATTAAGTCCATTTTATTCCTTTGCTCATACGAAAGCGCTACCTGAAAACAATTTACTACGGTGGATCACATTTTATTGGTGTTTTCTGTAGTGTTTCTAAATGGTCTTCATGTTCTGAATGCTGTTCACAATAACAACTTAATGGTTGTCATGATAAATTTTCATTATATTATAGGTACCTCATATAACATAATAAATTACATAATAAGCTCTATATATTTTCTGGCTTTAAAAAATATGAGCTGTTGGCTCGACTTACGTACGGAAATCGAGTAGTCAATTACAAAGATATTAAGGGAGTACTGTATAATCATTACGTAAGGCTATTTTGAGTTTATCTTCACTTATAAACCAAATATAAAAAATATATGTCCTCATTTTTGCGTGACAGTAGTTTTGCGTGATTAAACTCTTTAGTTATCAATGTAATAGTTTTGATTTGTAAGTGTTAGTTGAATGTTTATTCATTTCTGTATTATTATACAGTTAGTTTTTTTACTTAATTAGAAGAAATAGTAGATCTTTATAGCCCACAACTCTGTAAACCTATTGTTTGTGTTTGTGCAATTGATGTTTTGCCATGGGGGAAGAGTGGGCCTATGTTCCAACTCAGGGAATGTTAAATAAAGAATTTGTCTATAAGTTCTTTCTTAGCCGTCAACCTACATTATCTAAACTTCCGTCCATCCATCCACTTTCCATCCATCAATGCATTCCATGCACTTTCAGTGCCAAAGATCCTGAACATTGCAGTGGGATGGTAATGACACTGTATAAATTGATTTTAGTTTCTTCTGACAGCCATTTGGACTTTAACAGTTTTTCTAGAGACCAATATTAAATAGGCTACCTACCTTCTACACCGGTTGACATTACCATAACTAACCACCATTTTGATATGTCGACAGAACATAAAGAGAACTATCAACTATCAATTTTAACTCGTGTTTTTTACTTAATTGACCATGGTCTACTGCTAAAAAATGCATCATACAGGTCTTCTAAGCCATCATCATTTTTCTGAGGCCTCAGTCACAAGAGGTGTGCCCTAAGGTTTCGTTCTCGGACGGACCATGTTCCTTCTATTTATAAAAAACTTGTCCTCTTGTGCAAATAAGGCAAACATTTGTCCGTTTGTTCAAGGTAGGACCATAACAAAAATATTATGTTATGATAAAAAAAAATTATATGCTGTTATTAATTAAATATCCTCAAAAAACAAAAAACCTTATTTTACGCGCATCCAACTATGATTTTTAGTAGACATTGGCAACAGCTGGCCCATCCAGACGCGTCTACAAGTCTTCATCAGCATCCTAAAATCAGCGCTTAACGTTTTAAAAATAAATATATAAGAAGCACTTTGATGAAATTACCATTACTCATACTGCTTAGACCACATTTACAAAACAGCTTTTTGCTCACACTTACCATAAAATACAAAATAAAATCATGTGTCGCTCCATTATTATGCTTATTCTAGGTCTTTTATACTTTTGGCAACTCCTTTACAGAACCAAGCCCATACTCGACCCACACTATAAAATGCCATATAACAATATAAATCAGTATTACAAGTGGGTCAGTTTCATTGAGGGGTTGTGGGGTGTTTGGTGCGCGCGCATCGGCGTGGGTGCCTGCCGCTCAGTAGGACATGGACCGCTGGGGAGACGGAGGCTAGGCGCCCATGCGTTCCTCATGTAGTATTAGCACTGACTTCTTCTAGTGAGCGATGAGTGCAGCCTGGAAGTACGGAGCCGTGGCGCTAACACTAGTCGCACTTCTTACTTTGACCGACGGCTCCTTGTTACTCCACAACCGTCCACAGCACTCTTCGGCGGAACAGTGGCTTGTCCTGTCCTCAGGATTGCCGCCTCCACCCGCGCCCGCGGGAGCGGCCAGTCCCGACCCGGCCTTGGACCTCCGGCGGCGGAGATCTCCCTGGAGGAAGCGGTCGACGGAGGGCGGGGGGCGACTCGCCCGGCTGTACACTCGCTCTCGCCGTGGCAACGTACAATACGAGATGCATCAAATGGGTTAGTATCACCTTGCAGTGCGTGGCACACACACATACACACTCTCATACAAACCTTCAACTATCACATACGTTATTTTGTATTTACCTCAGTAAGTTCATTCTTCTAAACTCATTAAATAAATTATTTTTTTCACGAATGCTATAATGTTTCCTAGAATATTTATGCTAATTAACTTAACCTTTGATGTTATCCAATTTGGTACGAAAGTAACTCGGTGCGGTTTAGTTTTAATTTATTTTATTGGTAAGTATCCGAAACTATCGTTGCGAGTTGATGTTTGACGTTGTGTTGAGATGTTCGTTAACATTCGTTGTGACATGGTTTGAACTCAATTATTGGCGTGTCATCGGTTTATTGGATATTGTTGTTTCAATGTGAGGGTTGTTATATGTTGTGTAAGCGCGACCGATAGGTTTATGAGTAGTCGTATTCTAAGTGTTTGGAAACGTTAGGTGACAAACTTTCACTCTGTTTTTCTCTGTGTAGTCCACAATAGAAAACGAAATATTAGAAGTAAATAGATTATTTTGAGTTTATTATCATATCACAGTTATAAAAACGCAAACTTAAAAACGACGCAGTTATAAATTAAAATTTGAGAGGAAATTTTAGTTTCTTTAAAATCTTTTTGGCCAAATTGCAATATGGCGTTCTATAAAATAATCAAACACACATTAAAAATACTACTACCGGGTTTTGAAATAACATACAAATTATATTTCAAATGTATAATAAAACAATATATTTTACTCAGTTTAAAAACCTACAATCAAAATGTGCCCCGGAATTTCCAAACGCCATGTCTATTGATCGCAAAGTAAGAGTGAATGTTTGTTTGGCAGAAAGAGCAAACCTTTAGAGTTAATATGACCACTTTGTATGATATCAGATGTACCGAGTGTGGCAGGCACATTTAGGTGATTGGACGGCAGAAACAGGCTTCATGCTATAAACACATTGGTTTCATCATCCGGCCGATGGTGCAACCATATATTTTTGACACCCTTGGGCTTGTGATTTTTCGCTGTGGGTTTTTTGTTTCATTTAGTTCATTTAATCTAATTGGAAAATACTTTCGCGTGCTATTATTTTGGGCAGTTGTGATTCAGTTACGTGTTTTAATTGATGTTACGGTCGAATCATATAAGTTACTGATGCGAAGCTAATGTTTAATAATAAGTATTATCTTTGACTATAATTATGTAACAGCTGACACAAAACGTCGGCCGATTATTTGTGTTGTAGGCCTATATTGAGGATATATTTGTTCTGATAAGTAAACAAGATACAATTCAATAAAAATATGGCAAGAAAATAAGATTAGAAGCCATCCTTGACTTGTGAAATAAAATAAATGCGGAATCGTGATAAACTAACTAATCATAGGCTTTTCATATTTTACTTTTAAAAAAATTGACGTTGTTTTCTAAATTGTGTCAAATGCAAACTTTGGATAATACTCGACTTGTCATTTTACATTAAAAGTATTCGTCAAAGATACGCTCAATTTTAAATATTTTTTTAATTCTAGTAGTTTCAAAACTGATTATGACAATGTACTTAAAAGATTAACAGTTTACGATATGCAGTAACTTTTGTTTGTGCCTATGTACAAAAAGAAAATCTATTAAAATAGTCAAAGTACCAATGTCTATTGTAGAATATTATTGACAGTATAAAAACCATTGCACAGAGAATAGTGTAACTTATATCTTATATATTTTGAATAAACAACTAAACTATACCACACATCGTTTTCTGCTCTGCTGATATATTAAAACGTAGGAATATTAAAATATAAATGGGTAACTTTGTACGTGTCAATTTTAGACAGAGTGTTAGTTGATATAGTGTGTCGCCTGTGGCTTTGAAAATTACTAAAGAAATTGTTTTTTTTTTTTTTTGTTACAGACTTGCATTTTACTGAAAATATAAAAAAAATCTCTGAAATCACAGCGTGGACATTTAATATTTAGCCTAATATTTTAACCAAACTAAGTTTAAAATGCTTAATTTCCAAGCATACTTGTAAGATAGAGAACAAAATTTACATTCAAAGTGTTATATACCTATATTCTATACGATAGTTTTGATTTAGGAGTAAATCTTTATCTTAACTATTTATTTAGTCGCTATACCATATAACACTTACATTATACATATTTGATCATCAAAGGATCACAATGTGAAATCAATTTATTTGACAGAATTGTAAAATGGATGATTGAAATGCATGATTGATTTTGGACAATTTTCTTCATAATAAATTTAATTATGGCGTCTGGCTATGACAAATCAAAATAATGTGGAAACATTTGCAAACTATTACATCAAGTGAAACGCCTAAATTGTCCATAAACAAAAATATGAAGTTGTTATTATCATTTCACTCGTTGACATTAAAACATTAAAAACACACAAATATTTAAGAATACGTTAAGTCATAATTGTTACTATTTTAAGTGTGAAATAAGTTAACATGACTTTTTCTTCTTTGCTCGCAGGCCCCCACGCACGAGATAGGCCATACGATGTCCCACAGATTGGTGAGTTGTACCTCCCTTGCTGGCAACAGTCCAGTTCCATGACCTAGCTTCTTTTATTTTCTATTTTCCATTTTCTCGACTGCCCTTGTTTTCACATTATGGTTGTAAAACACGCCTTCTATGGTCAGGTTTGTCGCTGTACAATCATAACTTCTAAAGGTGTAAAAGTTGCATTGTTATCAAACGCGATGAGTTTAAATTTTTTCGACCAAATAACCAATTTTTCTGTTAGGAATTTCATATCTAATTTACATGTTACTCAGCAATCCATAAAATCCGTGGATGGTTGAAATCTTGATTCAAATTTAACTTGTATTATATCTTTTAAATCAGATGTGATAGGCTGGATGATAATTTATTTATGAGATAAGAATAAACAATTTAACAAATATTTATAACAATCCATTACCTTTTTTAGTTGTTTTTAAAAGTCTATAGGATTTTTAAATTAGACACTTATTATAATGTTGCATTTTATGATAGTATTAACTAGCTTACATAAGAACGAATATATTTATATTAACTTCTACTACAGGTGTTTTGTTGGTTCCATCTTAAATTTAACATTTGAGCTACTGAAAACCAACAATTGGACGTCAAAATGAGCACAATATTATTCCTACATTGAAATCGCAGTTAACTAAGAAATCTTAAAATATCAAAGGGTAAAAAAAGACTATACCGTTGTAAAATCACATTTTCAATAAACGCTTGTAATATCCCGAAGGTAAAACATGCATGCTCTAAAATTTATCATTAGAAAATGTTTACGTTCATTCATATGATATTCAAGCCATATATTATAGGCTTATAGCAGCATTGTTTTAATATTCATGTAGTGCTGTGTGACTCTAATCAAGAGAATTAGAAATGTGTTGCGCAGTGCCGTATATTAATTAAGTCTTTGTTTTGCTACACTCTAGTTATGATTTAGTTGGTAAAGCTCTCAAGTGTTAATTGGCTTTGTATAATAATAGACCGCGTTGAATATTCTATCAAAATATTCAACACGACAGTAATTAGTTGGCCAAAAATGCTGCAGTTTGCACAAAACCTCTCATATTGGACGATGTAATGTAAAATTCAGCAACGGAAGTAGATAGAATATAAGATTTCCGCCTCGTAAAACAACGCAAGGAAGAAATAAGTAGGCGGGAAAATTGTATTCTTTATGCCTACTGACTTTAGGATTAGGACCTTAAATGTAAAGTTGCCTTTTGCGCTTTGTTGAGGTGAAGAGCAAAGGTTGAGTTTATCGTTTTATTATTGTGTGTTAGTCGTTGATTTCAATGGTTGTGGCTTAACTGACTCAGCAAAATCTGCTTAAATTATATTTGTATTTTTATTGCTTTTTTCTGCATACTCTGTTAATTTAAACACATTTAATTTAAAACATTCTGTTAACAGTCTGTGTTTTGCTAAGGGGAAGATTTCAGTTAAAAATGATATCTTGTTTAACTTGTGCAAAACAAATAGTTGGAATTCACGTGGATTCCTGGCACGTAAACAATTATTTTATTTCGACCTACTATTGAAAACTTTAACAAAAAATAATACAACATTCATCAGATTATTGGTGTATTACATTATTAACTAATTATAATATCAATAACTAAATTTAGCTTAGTTTTCGGTAAACACTCATTTTTTTCTTACTCTATCATTAATAATAACTTCTGAGCTTCTATAAGGTTGTTCTGACCTTCTATGCGTTTTGATTCATGTGTTTGAAACTTAAGACCGTGAATAATCTTTATTATGTAGCATATTAATGTAACCTACGGTTTAACAAAAAGAAAATGAATAGTCACAAGTTACAGTTATAGTTTTTTTACTCTAGTTTTGTTATGTATTTCATAGTGTTATCGAGACTTCTGATTGCTCTTACATATACAGGGTGTCACAAAAATCCGTATCGGCTATGCAGAACCGGAGTATAGATAAAAATATAAGATGAATATCTAGAATAACATTTTTTCCCAAAATCGCTTCACTAAACCAATATATATATATATATATATTGGATATCCACCAATTTTGTATTTTTCACATAAACCTTTTTATTTATAGATTGTTTTAACCGATCTTAATGGAACTGTTAACATAGGTTATGGTAGAATTGACCCATGTGAAAATGAAAACAAATATCCATTTTCAATCAAAAAATTCAAAGCGGCAGAAATTTTAACTTTCAAAACTTATATTACAAAGAAATTACCTACTAATACACTACTAATTAAAAAAAAATTCAAGTACTATTTTATACTGTATATAATTGAAATTTTCCTATCAAACTACACCAGTTCAAAAAAAAAAGAATACAAAACAACTGAAATACTGTACCATGATTTTAGTTGTAAAACAAGGTAGAATAGGACTGAGGTTTGCCATTTTACAACTAACTAAAATCGTGATACAGTATTTCAGTTATTATTCTTTTTTACAAATACCTAGAATTGTATACAGTTTGATTTTACATCAAATAGGCAGTTTATAAGCACATTCAATCTTAGTCACATAAACCGATTGGACTGGTATTTATACAATACCAGTATAAATACCAGTACTAGTCCGATTGGACTAGTACATACAATTACACCAAAATAAGGTCCGTGATTGGCTTTTTGATTACACCTAGTAATCGACATTGTTAAACTTCTAACTACAATCCTGAAATACGATACAAATAAAATCAATTACCTTTACAGTTTGCCCTTGTAGGAAAGTTTGTGAAAGCTAATATTGGTCGTAATGCAACGGAAATATAGTTACACAATAGAACGAGATTATCATAGCTGGGATTTGACAGGATTGGACCCAATTAAACAAGTCGTAGTGAGAAAAGTCCATGTAAATGTATACTTAATTTTTCCATTTCGTGGTAACCAGAATCAATAAATTATAAAATAAACTTGCTTACTTTTTTTAGTATTTGTTGTTGATTCTACTATATTATATTAATATGTTGCCTATACGTTTACAGCCCGTTGACTCCTTTAAGACGAAATAGGCTTCCACATCACACAGGCCAATGTAGTAAAAAGTGACATCATCAAAATTCTAACCGAGCCGAGCACAGCCAACACGTCAAAACTTGATTAATATAGAGTTAGGTAGAACACGTGAATATATTGGAAAATATATTCAATCCTTTCTTCCTTCGTAATAAAAGGTGATAATGTACTATGGCCGTTTCGGAGATTATTTCACTTTCGGGTATTTAGTAGTACACTTTTTCGTGTTAAGTTAACCAAGACTTAAGTTAAGTTTATACTACGCACCCAACAATGAAGCAATCTCCTATACGGCTCCAATATATTATATCCTAATATTATATTTCCATACGCCAAACATGAAAATTAAATAAACTGTTTACACGAAACTAGCATTTTGATAATGACATTTGGACTACAGAGGGTGGTTATGAAGCCTATTGCATCACATAACATATTCGAAGGGCTAGTTGGATGGTCAACATATCAATCAAAAGTGTATTGTTAGCAGGCTAAACGTATACTAAAAACATGTATTAATACTAAAAACATAACGTCAATCTATTTTAATATTTTAAAGACTTTCATGTTTCAAAACCTTTACATAGACCTAGACTGACAGTGGCACACAAAAAACTGCTTTGATACAAGAGTTTATAAAAAATGTCGAGCAAAACATTTTAACGACCTTTTCTAGTATCGTTTTATAGTCCGTAAAACTACTTGACAACGACACCGTTCAAAACCAAATTGGTTCGAGTTACACTAACAACATGCATGAAGCAGCTAAAGGCAAGCCTTCCTTCAAAGGTGGTGGTTGACAGTCGATGAAGTCTGGTTTGCTACATCTGCTGTTGACAGCTTACCTTGATAAAGTGTCAAACCGGAGCAAATCGCAAATTGAAACATTTACTCGGAATACTTGTAATAATCTGGGTTGCTGATGAAGTAACAAATTATTAGTTTGATAAGTTGGGTAATTAGATTTTTATGTATAGGTAATTCTTTTGTAGAAAACATCTACTCTTTAAAAGATCTAGCCAATTATCATAACATGTTATAGCCAAAATGACATTTGATAGCTTATTGGGTTCAAAGTTTTTAGTTTGGTCATTAGTTTAAAATTTATTATTCCAAACATGATTTTACTGTATATTGTTGTTATTCTACCTAATTCACGCAGTCATTTCAATCAGTAAACAATATTAGGTGAGTCTGATGGAAATCACCATACTGTAACAACATACATCCAGCTGCAAACAATTGTATTGACTGGGTAGCCAAGTGGTCATAGTGTTCTCAACAGGATACTTGTGTACGTTTTACTGTGTAGACGCAAAATACCGCACTTATGATATCAAATTTGAATTTATGTGGTGTTAACCTTCAACTCTGAAAGCTTGCAGGTTCAATACTTCGGGGGTAGTTAGGACTCGATGCTATTTATAATTTTCCTACCCCTACCGATACGTGAAACTCTTCCTAACGAAAGGTCGAGATTGGATGATTTCATAACGAGAGTTAGAATACTTAGTAGACCTCTACAACTCTTACGAATAACATGAAAAATGCCCATACCAATACACGAGGTTTAAATGGTGTTCCACAATTACTTTTAATAAACGTAAGGATTTTAACTAAATATGTGATTTCTATTAACATCGTAGTGGCTCAAGTAGACAAGCCGTCTGGATTCCGAGGATGTTCGCAGGGCGATTAGCGTTTGGACAGAGTAAATAGCAATAAGGGATGCTAACAGACGCTCTGGAATGTTCCTACCACGTCAAGTCTTTTCACGTTTCACTTAATGATAACGAGCGTTATGTAACGCTTATATTACATCGTCATGACTGCGATCAATATAACCATCTCTGATAGTGTAACAAATATAGAACGTGCGTCTCAGCATTAATGTAACTGGCACTGCCGATGCTTTTCCTATGAAATCTGAAGCCCACTTTTAATGGAGAATAGCTACGTTTGATGCCAGACGTTTTCATTCGTGCG